GTGATGGTCAGGAACTGCTGTTTGTCATTATGCCAGTTTGAAATCCCTCAAGAAATACTGTTCGATTATAGGTTAGCTTTTTTTAATCGGAAAATTTTTTTTATTTTTGTTGATTTTTATGCAATCCCGGGATTAATTCAACTATTTTAGCCGATTGGCTATTTTGCTGGTGACAGTATTGCAACATCATAATGCTGACAATCTGACCCAACGTATTGTGGTATTCCTTCTAAACTCTATGGCATGTCATGTCGAAGGCGATCAGAAAGTTCAAGTTGGCAGCTTCGGAGCTATCGAGGTATGTGCGATTTGAGTAAGACTATCTTTTTCATCTGAATACCGTCTGCGTTCAAATGAAAAAGAGAATTTTTTTAAATTCATTTTTTTTCGCAGTTTTATGTTTGTAAAAATGAAGTTTTGCAGATGATTCTTGATCAAATTCGACGAAAGCTCACGACCAATGTTTGCGATGATGTCATGGAGGTTGGATGGAGTTTCCTGTGGAACATCACTGGTGTGTCCATCAGTTTTTACACTATATATACTTTTTGTTGTTGGAACATATGTGATTGAGTCATCTCAGCAATTCATGTTTGTCGTATTTCAGATGAAACACCCGTAAACTGTGAACGTTTCTTGAGGGCTGATGGTCTACATCTGTTCCATATGTGCTTTGACGCATTCCGAAATGAACGGTTCGTTTGCAATACATTCTTCGTTATACTCATTTTTTTGTCAAGGACTTCTCATTCAGCTCTACTTTTTTGCGAAGTGTAAAGTATACTACGTTTTTCAGAGAGCTGGTTCGTAATATGATGGGCTTGATTGGAAATATTGCTGAAGTTGATGGTTTGCGTTCTCAGCTAATGAATGATGACTACGTCAAGATTTTCTCGTATGTTTACATTTATGCTCAGTCTCAAGCAGTTTACCAAATTTTGCATTTTAAGAGCTCTCTTGGATCTTGTGGAGGACTCCATCGAGATTAGCTATAACAGCGCTGGAGTTCTCGCTCACATGGTCAGCGATGGAGAAGAGGCATGGAGCTGTCTGACAGTACGAAGAGAACAGGTCATGGCTAGCATTGTTAAGGTAGGTCCCCCGAATCCCTGGATCAATGGGTGATCTAAATGCTACAAATTCCTGTAGGCCACTGAGTCGTGGAGGCTGGAAACAAAGCGGTTCATCAACTACCGCTCATTCCGTCCAATTCTTCGCCTTTTGCCTTTATGGCATGCATACGCCAGCCAACATTGGGCCGTATGGGCATTGGCTAATTTGACAACCACAGATGGGGCTAAGTAAGTTGATTTACTTCAATTCGATACTTTTATTTAAGCTTG